TAAAACAATCAAAATTAAGTAGGATGATGAAGGCCATTACATAATTATAAAGGGTACAATCCAACAAGAAGACTTACTTATTCCGAATACATATGCACCCAACAATGGAGCAACCAGATTCGGAGGTACTTGTAAAGCTGAGATGGAAGGATCACTTGGGTTCGAGAGGTTGAGGCTGCAGTCAACGGTGATTGCACCACTGTACTTCATCCTGCGTGACAGAGTGAGACCCTGTCCAAAAAAAAAAAAGGAGCTTCACAGGGGGAGGTCCACATGCATAGGTTGGGGAATTCCTGCTCCCGGGTGTCCCACAACCCACACTTCTACCTTACCTAGACTGGCCTGGGGTGATGCAGACCATGAGGCTGATCATCCTGCACTGTGCACTGTGACTGGCAGGGGGCGCTGAAGCAGCTTTTTCTGCCCCCACGTGGTGCGCATGCGTGTTCTCACCACAGCCGCTGCGTGTTGTGCGTGGCGTGGCGTCCATATTGAGTAGAAGGAGAGCGTCTCTGGCTCTTTCAGGATCCGCTTGAGAAGGCACCGCTGCGGTTTGGGAACGATTTGGAGACTTGTCCTGGGGAGGAAACAGCTCCTGTCTGTGGCCCTGACTGCCTAGGTAGGAGCTGCGTGCAACTCAGCTTCTCCCGGGCATTTTTTTTCTACATGGTGAGTACAGAAGCTTGTTTTCTGGAACGTTCCCTGTATTCTCCTCTTCTCCATAGTTTTCCTCTTTCTCTTCTAGTATTTTGGTATTTGTTTTACCATGAGTTTTGTTCCCGGAGGGCTTTTGAGGGTGGCAAGTGTAGCAGACTGTGGTATTTTTAGGGTTCGAGGACTTTTTCTAAGGGAACCTGTCCCGTATAGATGGGGAGAGAGGAAAGCCCCAGGAGGAAGGGGAAGCCCGGCCCAGGTGGGAGTTGGGACCAGGCCTGGGTGTTTGGCTGCCTCCTGGCCAGGCTTCAGACAGAGGAGAAAAGATCCCAGCTGCCTCCAGAATTTGATGAATTTTTAAATTTGCTCTCCCGCCATCGTGTCTGGGACTCTTTCATCCCCCACCCCTGGCCTTCAGGGAAGCCTGTGTCCCTTTCTGTCTGTCTGATCCCGACCACCTGACCGGGAGGGAGGGACACCCGGGTGTGAGCCTGACGGGGAGTTGTCCCTGGTGATGGCGATGCTGAGTACCTGGTTCTGTCCATGCTGCTCAGTGTTATTATGTCCCCTGTGCAGAAATGTCTGTGCTGGGCCCTGCCAACTTTGGGGTTGATGATCTTGTTGTTGTTATTGCTGTTGAGCACTGTTGAGGTAGTGCGTATTTTTTGTAACAATCCCTTAGATACATACTTCCCCCAAACTTTCTCCCCATTTGTAGGATTGGTTTTCATTTGGTTCACTGTTTTCTTTCTGTACAGAAGCTTTCCAGTTGAATGTAGCCCCACATGGTGGTTTTTGCTTTTGTTACCTGTGATTTGCTTTCCCAATTTAAAAAATAAATATATTCACAAGCCATTCCCTTCTCGA